AATAAACCAATGAAGTCAACAAGATCTAGTTTTTAGTAAGAATAAATTTAGCCATGACATTTTAAGTTTAAAATTCACTTATTTCATTTGGTTGTCCTTAATCTAAGAAATACACTGAAGTTTGACTCAAAGGGTCAGCTTGGATATATTTGATCAGTGGATAGGATGGATCATATGTTTTCCCGCCCTTTATTTTAAAATAGGCAAATCTCATGCAGTTTTCAGCTCTACAGACCAGTGAGTAGATCTTTACATCTCCCTCTGAGTCATGTCTGACTGCCATGTTGTTGCTGGAACAATCTCTTCCACCTCTGACTGACACAAGGCGGAGAAGCCGAGCCTTATTGTGGGAGGAAAAATTATGACATCTTGCTGGAAAAGGAAAATTGTGGGTCTGATGAGGGAAGGGAAGTAAATATGAGCGAAATGGTGAAGAAGAACAGGGAGGAGGTGATGGAGGGAGGAGAGGTCAGAACTCCTTTCATCTCGCCGTCTTAACTTCAAAGGCGAGATTGATGCTGCTTTGATTCCATCAGAAACTCGGATCTGCAGGGATGGGGGAAAACTGCAAAAAAAGTCCAAAACCTGATCATCAGTGTACATGTGAAAGGATTACTTTGCACTTTGTCTGTGTCTCTCGATAAATTTGACGAATGAAATTACAGTTTAATTAACACTGATAAGAGATGCCCTTTTTGGCTGAGGAGAAGTTTGAAACTGATAGCACTTGTCCACCAACACTGGCATGTGCTCATCCTGAAAGAGTCTTTCAAACAATTCCTGATAATTAGGTGAGATGAAACACAAACTGAGTAAGGAAAAAAAAATTACGGCATTCTAAAAAAAATAGGTGTTAAAATTGTACGAGAAATGTACTAGAAAGTCAACAAGCAGAACTATGGAGTAGTTTGCTGTAAGAGTTTAGTTTGGCACTAGGAACAGAAAGTTTGAACGAGACACTGATATTAAAATATACACTGGAATTTATTAGAACAGGCAGTTTATGTCTTTTCTGTGTGTTGGAACTGCAGTCACCTTCAATTTCCATTGAAACAGGTTAAAATTGTTTGTTTCAGCCCTCGACTCACAACATGCCAAAACATGCACATTATATATTTTTTTTTTCTTTCATCAGAGAGTAATTTACCACATGTAATTGCTGTGATAGGATCACTTTATCTTGAAAGTAGAGCAATTTAAAAAGTAAATTAATAAGTGAAATGGCCACAGTATCCTTTCCTGATCTGATATGATGGAGATTTTCTGTGTGTGTATATATATATATATATATATATATATATATATATATATATATATATATATATATATATATATATATAAAGGTTCAACTCTCTTGTTTTCTTATGCACAAACGAAAAAGAAGGACCCACTACCTTCTGCCCTGGTAGCGGGAAGAAGGTACCTTTTTTATCATCTCCTGTTTTGTGAAACAACCAAAGCAAACAATATAGTCACATCTACGCGTCCACTAACTATACAAGTTTCTTGCAACGCTAGCATGTGCACAATGTATCGACTCTACTTAAAGTGCTTTTTCAAGTAAGCTATTTTGATAATTGTTTTCACCTGAGCTATGTCATCTGTATGTTTTTTTTTTTACTGAATATATTAGCATGTTACCAAAATGAGTGATTGCAAACAAAAAACAAAAAAAAAAAGACTAGCGGGCACATTTTAGTAACAATTTCAAATGCAATTACATTTCTGTCAACAAGA